AAAAAAAAAAATAAAAACGAAAAATGTTTCTCAATTAACAACTTAATACGAGCATCTAAACCATCTTATAAGACAACATGAGGAGAGGACAACCATTATTAACTTCATCTTGATCCTAAAGCCATTTAGGAACTATACTAATTCAAAATGAAAGCCATTCATTTGCTTTTCATTTATCTTAACACCAAGATTACCATTAAACAACATGTTTTACTTCAACAAAAGGCCTACTCTACTGCTGATATTTGTATCTGCACTTTTTCTTTTTACCAGTTCAGGAAGCTAATGAGGCAAGTTCTCCTGGCCATACCAATGTTTCAAGCCCGAGAATGATTCTTCGAGCTAGAAACTACAATTGGTGGTTTCGAACGGCTATCTACGTGTTCCTTCTACTCTCAGGCCAGTCAGTAGCAACACTGTTGGGGAGATTGTACTTTGACAAAGGAGGAGAAAGTAAATGGATGCGATCACTGGTGCAACTTGCAGGTTTCCCAATCCTGCTTCCATACTATCTTATATCATCGCACAAGAAAGCTGTAACAAATACCGACATGCACTCGAAACTGCGCTCCATGTTAGTCCACGCATCGGTTTACGTGGTTCTTATGCCTTCCGGTATCTACTTATTCGCTAATCTGTGTCCCAGTTGGCCTTTAGTGCCTTCTCCTTTTTTCTCAACTCACAGAAGCTCACTCCTTATATAGTCAATTCCCTAGTGCTTCTCACCATCTCCTCCGTGCTCCTCGTGTTTCGTGCCGACTCTGGTGATGCTTCTAAAGGAAAGTACGCGATTGGATTGACGTGTACAATTGCTGCATCTGCTGGCTACGGATTCTTTCTTTCGTTGACACAGCTTGCCATGGAAAACGTCCTCAAAAGAGACATTTTCAGTGGTCATGGATCTTATGGTGAACCAGTCACTGGTTGCGACCTTGGCTACCTTGGTGGGAATTTTTGCGAGCGGACAGTGGAAGGATTTGAAGTAAGAGATGTACACATTCAAACTAGGGAAGGAATCTAATCTCATGACCTTAACATGGACAGCTGTAGCATGGCAAGTTTATACTGTTGGTGCAGTGGGATTGATTCTTGAGGTTTCTTCCTTATTCTCCAATGTCATGAGTGTCTTTGGTTTGGCCATTATTCCAGCTTTAGCTGTGTTTTTCTTCAACGAAAAAATGGACGGTCTAATGGCGATGGCGATGGTTTTGGCTATTTGGGGCTTCATTTCATATGTTTATCAGAACTACCTTGAGAGTCATAATTCCAAGACGAAGAACGAAAAGACCTACAAAGAAACCAGAGATTCCCCTGAGAGAGATCAATGATTGAATGAAAACTCAAAAGGAAAGCCGTTACATGCTCACATCTTGAGAATTAAATAGACACAAGTCGATCGCTTGATTCTTTTCACTACAAGCATAGTTTGTTTTACTTATGTTCTTCTCAATATTGTAGGAAATCTCGGATGAGATATCATAGGAGGATTTTTAGGAGTTTTTCTAGTATAGGAAATCAAGGGAGATCACCGGATCCTAAAAGGGCTGATCTGTTTGGATACTTTCCTGATTTTCTGTAACAGAAAGTGTCTATAAATAAAGGGTA